TAAACGGCTAAAAATAGTATTCTTTATATAGGCACCTTATAAAGAACTAAGCTAGCGTAGGCGCTAGCTATATTTCGCACTTTTTAAGAAACCTGTTAGTAATCCCTATAATACCCGGGGCTTTATTTAGGGCAGTTCCTATTAGCGCTAAAAAAATATCCTTAATTATAATATCTAGCGTAGTATTATATAGTTCCGGGTATTAGAACCTTTTTAGGTCGGATAAGTCTATATTAGCCGGAGGCGGAAAAAACTACTTTACTAGTATACGTGCTTTTATTTTATTATCTATATATAGAGTAGGGTTCTCGGGTTTTAAAAAAAAGGGGAATTAAAGCAAAGGTTTTAATTCCTTACTAGCCGTACTGCCCTAATTAGCTAGCTTTTATATACTTTTTAGGTTTTTTATTACTTTTTCTACTATATAGCGCTACGCCTTAGTACTCTCCCTTTATATAGTTTTCTTTTTATAGTTATACTAAATATAGTATAATATTTAGTCTTCTATAAATTATAATAAGCGCTATATTCTATACGCCCTCCTAGTTTTATACACTTTTTTTAAGCATTTTTCTAACTATACCGGCGATGCCTATTTTAATAGCCTTATAATAGGTACTATAGCAGTAATTATAGCCTGTATATATTTATAGAAAAGGCGTACGAATTTATTAAGGTCCTTTTCTATATTTTAAAGGTTATTCTAGTTATCTAGCTCGTCTAGCTAGGTTTAGAGGTGCTCCTGCGCCTTCTTCTAGTTAGTATTTTTCTACAGCCGATATTATAGCTATTCTACTATACTTAGTAGGGTAATATCGAACTCTATATATATAGGGCGGTAATCTAAATCGCAGTTCTATTCCTCTTACACTATATAAAAAGTAGTTTATTCTATTAGCTATTCTATTATAAATATAAGGTTAATTATAGACTATAATATTCCTCTCGCCTATATTTTTATACTTTTCTCCGTGGCCAGGTCTATTCCTGCTTCTGTTATAATGCGGATAAGCTCCTCCGCTTGCTCCTCTATATTTATTACTTATATTCCTCCCTATAATAGGTAATATAGGTTTATATTACCTATAAAAATATACTCCGCGTTATTATTATTTAGTAGTAGGGGTAGTGCGGCTATAATTCCGTTTAGTTTCGGGTTATAAATATTATAAATTTAGATATCCTTTCTACTAGTATAGAGAGAAAGGGTAATAAGGTCTAGTAAGTAGTACTCTACTAACTACTAGTTAATATTAAGGTTTTTATTAATATATATACACGTTTTTATATATAGGCTTCCTCTATATAAAAGGTAATAAAACTTTATATAAAGTATTATATACTTTTATTACTATATATTCTTCTATAGCTTTTATATTACTAGCACCAGCGGTTAAGGCTAGGCTTTCTCCGCTTTTTCTAGGAACTTCCTCTAGGTCTTGCGGCTTTTATTAATATTATACTATATAATAGTAAGTATACTAGGTTATTCTAATATTAAACTATATCTATAGTATCTGCGGCGTTCGCTGCACCTATTTCGGCGTATAGTTGCTAGCTTATATTATCTTCCTATAAGAATAGCACTTAGGTAATAGTTTTAAGTTGTAAGAGTTTATCTATATCTCCGTATATTATTAATTAAGTTAACTAGGTTAAAGGCTGTAAAAATAGCGATATAAAGCGAAAAGTATATAGTATTTAAAAAGGCGTTAGATAGGAAAATTACTGCGTTAAACGAGCAGTCTATATTATTCCGTTAATTTTTAGCTAGCTTAGGTTTTTATTAGAATACTTAAATATTTTCGGTTATCCTACTTTTTTTAGTGCTGTTAGCGCTGGCCCTAGTTCTATACTGCCTTCGCGTGTATTATTATTAGCAGCTTTTTTCTTTCTAGACTAGGTTAAGGTTATATACACCTCTAGCGGGGCCTAGGGCGTATATAAGCTCGGCCCCTTATTAGTATTATATCGGTGTAGCGTTGCCCACTTTTTTTAATATAGCCTGTAGCTAGGCCCCTTTTTTTATACTATATTTAGCACTATATACCGGGTAGTTTCTTTTATAGTTAGCGCACTTTTTAGTATCTATTACCGTGTATTATTTTATATTATATTCCTCTGCGCATACTATATATCGGATATCCTTTTTAAAGTATTTTATAATATACCTATAGCCCTGGTATCTAAAGTACTATATAGCTATAAAGCCTGCTTTATATTTTAAGGCTATTAGTAATTATCTACTTATTATAAATCCCTTTATAATAGCTTCGTCTGCTATTACTTCCGTGTATATACTAGTAATAATTAAGCTAGCGTATCGGCCTAGGTTCTCTTATATAGCCTTAATACCCTTTTTATTCTTCTATATTATTTTCTTAATAACTAGGCCTAGGTTAATTATCGCGTTAGCCCTAATAATATTATCTTTAAGTGTTTAGCTTTCTATATTTAAGTTTTTAGGTACTCTATACACCTCTATTAGCACTACAGGCAGTTATATACGTGCTGTTTTACCTAGTACCTGCACCTATTCCTTTTTCTTAAGCAGTGCTTTCTTTATAGCCTTATCCGCAACGTATACCTTAATATTTCCACTCTATAGCTTTTTTATACCGCTAATTTTCGTTATATCCGGTGGTCCGGCTGCTTAAAGCTTTTAGGTAATAGTTATATTTATATCTACTACGGTTATAGTTCGCTTATTATTATTTTTAATATAAATAGTAATTTTATAGATATTTATAGGTTGCCCTATATACTACCTATTTCCTGCTGCCTTTCTGTATTACGCAGCTATGCCGCTTAGTATAGCTAATAGTGTTGTGCCTGCTGCTGCTGCTGCTGCTACTACTGCTGCTGCTGCGGTATATATCTTCCTGTGCGTTAACAACGCGTATACCTTCTTTTTCGTGTCCTCTATTATTTTTATCAGCTTTTTCTATAGTATCTGCCGTAGGTTATTTACGGTATCTAAGAGGCCGAATAGAACGCGTCCTATAAAGTTATAAAGGGTTTAGATAATTATATTTATTTTAAGGGATTAGATTAGCTTATTCTATAGGAGGTCTTATATACTATATACTTTATTAACAAGGTCTTAAACGTTTTAGTAGACGTTTTTAATAGGCTTCGGGTTTTAGTATTAGTTTTAGCGTTGTTGTTATTATTGTTATTAATACTGTTGCTAGGGCGGCTGCGTGTTAGAAGTTATAATTCGCAGTATACCTACTACAGCGCCGCCGGTACTATTTATAGGGCTTTAAGGCTGCGTATAATTGTTTACAGGGCCTTAGATAGCCCCTAGGGGCCCTACTTAGGTTATATTTCTAAGATACTATAGAGTTAATTATATTATATTTTTTAATAAAAGTATATAATACTTTATATAAAGTTCTATTACTTTTTATATAGAGGAAGCCTATATATAAAAATATATATATATATTAATAAAAACTTTAATATTAACTAGTAGTTAGTAGAGCACTACTTACCGGACCTTATTACCCTTTTTTTCTATACTAGTAGAAAGGATATCTAAATTTATAATATTTATAACCCGAAACTAAACGGAATTATAGCCGCACTACCCCTACTACTAAATAATAATAACGCGGAGTATATTCTTATAGGTAATATAAACCTATATTACCTATTATAGGGAGGAATATAAGTAATAAATATAAAAAAGTAAGTAGAGAAGCTTATCCGTATTATAATAGAAGTAGGAATAAACCTAGCTATAGAAAAAGGTATAGAAATATAGGCAAGAAAAATATTATAGTCTATAATTAACCTTATATTTATAATAGAATAGCTAATAGAATAAACTACTTTCTATATAGTATAAGAGGAATAGAACTATAATTTAGATTACCGTCCTATATATATAGAGTTTAATATTACCCTACTAAGCGCAGTAGAATAGCTATAATATTAGCTATAGAAAAATACTAACTAGAAGAAGGCGCAGGAGCACCTCTAAACCTAGCTAAATAAGCTAAATAACTAAAATAATTTTTAAAATATAAAGGAGAACTTTAATAAATTTACACGCCTTTTCTATAAATATATACAGGCTATAATTACTACTATAGTACTTATTATAAGGCTATTAAAACAGGTATTACTAGTATAGTTAGAAGAATACTTAGAAAAAGTATATAAAACTAAAAAAGCGTATAGAATATAGCGCTTATCGCAATCTATAGAAAACTAGATATTATACTATATCTAGTATAACTATAAAAAAAGAACTATATAAAGGGAAAGTACTAAGGCGTGGCGCTATATAGTAGAAAAAGTAATAAAAAACCTAAAAAGTATATAGAAGCTAGCTAATTAGGGCCGTATAGCTAGTAAAGAATTAAAACCTCCGCCTTAATTTCCCTTTTTTTTAAAACCTAAGAACCCTACTTTATATATAGATAATAAAATAAAAGCACGTATACTAGTAGAGCAGTTTTTTCTGCCTTCGGCTAATATAGACTTATTTAACCTAGAAGGGTTCTAATACCCGGAACTATATAATACTACGCTAGATATTATAATTAAAAATATCCTTTTAGCGCTAATAGGAACTGCCCTAGATAAAGCCCCGGGTATTATAGGGATTACTAATAGGTTTTTTAAAAAGTGCGAAATATAGCTAGCGCCTATACTAGCTCGGTTTTTTATAAGGTGCCTATATAAAGAATACTATTCTTAGCCGTTTAAAACTTCTATTATAGTAGTACTATATAAGCCCTAAAAAGTATTCTATATAATAGTAAAGGTATATAGGCTAATCGCCCTACTAAAAATAATAGGTAAGCTATTTAAATAAATTATAGCTATACGGCTATTAAAAATTGCGGAAGAAAAAAATATACTTCTACCTAGTTAAATAGGGGTATAACTAGAATATTTAATATAAATAGTACTTAAGCTTTTTACTAAATAAATCTATACTATATAGAGAGGAAACCTATAGCTTATAGTATTACTTTTTAGCCTAGATATATTATTATTATTATTAAATTCTATTACGCTGGTGTAGCTCCCGTTAGGGTCCATGCAGCTGTTCTATCTAGGCTAGTTTACAAGGAGAAACCGTTTGCTGCCATGCAGCGTTCGGATGAAAACCCCGTCCTCTGCGGTGTATAGCGCTGAGCGCTCTTCTTGTTGTTGTATAGCTATTGGGGACACGTGGTAGATCTATCAAGTCCACCACGGAATAAGCCATCGTGATGCGTCTTCCTAAATCTGTCCGGGTTTTGCAGTCGTCCTCCTAGGCGCGGGTCGAGTTGATTCCGGAGTAGTGAGCTGGTTTAGGATTAGCGTGAGGGCACGCGTGCTGTCGTTTCGCACGCGTGCCCTTCGTCAAGGCGTTGGTCCTTGAATTGAATGATGTATGTGGGGGTAGTGCTGTATAGGCTGCGATATATATAGGGGCTGCGGTATACGGGTGGATACAGCTGTTGGATGGGTGCGTGATATAGGCGGCGTAGTATGCGTAGTATGCGTAGTATGCGTAGTATGCGTAGTATGCGTAGTGTGTGTAGTATGCGCAGTATGCGTGGTATGCGTAGTATGCGTAGTATGCATAGTTATGTAAAGTTATAGGAGGTGGAATGCCTATGTCTCCGCCTCTGCCATCTCTCTGGCCACCGAGAGGTATAGCAGGAGGTCCGTCCTTTGGAGAAGCTATTGGGCCACGGCCTTTCTTCCTTTCTGGCTTCTGTAGAGCTGTTCATACGTCCTCGTCTTGGCCTTCTGGAACAGCTCGCCCCTGCCCTTAACGTGTCTTCCGCAACTTATTATAATATGTCTTAGGGATTGGAGGCTATGCCCGCAAGGGCATGCCGGCGTCGGGTGGCCGGGCACTCTTATACGGTGGAGGTAACCGTTGAGCCCTATATGCTCCGTCCGTAGGTTTGTAATAATTGTGCTCTCTACCTTTGTAAGTCCTTTGTGTAGTGCCTCTTATTATTTGCTCTATTTAGTATTAAGTGCTGGTGTTAGGGGTCCTTAGCGTAGTTCTTTACAGTAGGCTTCCTATTCCTTCTTCCACTTCTCTTTGTATTCATCCTGGATCATGCCACGCCTCGTGCGCCTATAGGATTCTTCCGATTCGCCTTCGTATTGTGCGGGTAGCCGTGATGCCTTTGCCGCGAGCTTGCGGAGTTCGTCGCGCCTGCTTAGGCCGTACCGTGGTGTTCCTTTCGGCCTGTATTTAGCACGGACCGTTTCTCTTATGCGGCTGCATTAGGTTTTAATATGCTCGCGGGCTGGCCCCTTGCGTGTGCGGTCCGCGTAGGCCACTGTTAGTTCCTCTAGCTTTAGCCGGAGTAGAGGGCATAATATCTCGTGCTCTATTACCCTAATGTTTATTATCTTATATGCCCCTAAAATAGCACAAAGGCACTAGTTCTATGCTGTTTTAAGCTGCTTAATTTTTATCTTGCTAATCTGCTCTTTTATACCCGGTGTAGTATACTAGAAGGTGCATCTATATATAATAGTAGGCCTAATAACCGCCGAGTATATTATGCATGCCTTTCGGAAGCTTACGCCCTAGGTTAACGCTGTAAGCCTCGTAAGGGCCCCTATCTAGGCCGTGGCTTTATTTTTTATAGTGTTAATATGCGGGCCCTATTTAAGTTTAGAATCCACCTAAACTCCTAGTATTTTTAGGTCTATTATAGGGCCTTTAGTAAAGCCCTGTATATTAACTATAGCTTTTATATTAATAGACTTACGGGCTTTTATAAAGTATATTAGGTGGTATTTATCTAGCGCAAAAACTGCTCTATACTTTCTTGCCTACTCTATACACCGGTTATGCGCCCGTTTAATAGCCCTGCAGTTTTCTTCTATACTTTTACTATATATAAAAATGTTTATATTATTAATAAACCTATAGGCTGTTGTATTACCGCGCTATAGTATTAGTAGAAGCGTGCTAGTAAAGAAAAGGAAAAGTATTAGTAATAGGGAGAAGCCCTGCGGTATTTCTATAGTAACTATAATAGGTTCTGCTATAAAGTTTCTAATAGCGAGCCTTATAGTATAGTTCTATAAAAAGGACTTTATAAACCTAACTATTTACTCTAGTACTTATTAAATCTATAGGTTGTATATTATATATTTATATAACATACAGTTAAACGCCCCTAATATATCTAGGCTAAGAAGTAATACTATAAGCTATAGGTTTCCTCTCTATATAGCGTGGATTTATTTAGTAAGAAGCTTAAGTGCTGTCTATATTAAATATCCTAGTTGTGCCCCTATTTAACTAGGTAGAAGCATATTCTTTTCTTCTGTAATTTTCGATAGCTGTATAGCTATAATTTATTTAAATAGCTTGCCTATTATTTCTAGCAGGGCGATCGGCCTATAAGTATTTGCCGTTGTATAAAACGCTTTCTAGGGCTTGCGTAGCACTACTATAATAGAATTTTTAAACGGCTAAGAATAGTATTCTTTATATAGGCACTTTATAAAGAACTAAGCTAGTATAGGCGCTAGCTGCATTTCGCACTTTTTAAGAAACCTGTTAGTAATTCCTATAATACCTAGGGCTTTATCTAGAGCAGTTTCTATTAGCGCTAAAAGGATATTTTTAATTATAATATCTAGCGTAGTATTGTATAGTTCCGGGTATTAGAACTTTTCTAGGTTAGATAAGTCTATATTAGCCGGAGGCGGAAAAAACTGCTTTACTAGTATATATACTTTTATTTTATTATCTATATATAGAGTAGGGTTCTTAGGTTTTAAAAAAGGGGGAAATTAAGGCGGAGGTTTTAATTTCTTACTAGCTATATAGCCCTAATTAGCTAGCTTCTATATACTTTTTAGGTTTTTTATTACTTTCTTTACTATACAGCGCTATGCTTTAGTACTCTCCCTTTATATAGTTCTCTTTTTACGGTTGCACTAGATATAGTATAATATCTAGTTTTTTATAGATTGTAATAAGCGCTATATTCTATACGCCCTTCTAGTTTTATATACTTCCTCTAAGTATTTTTTTAACTATACCGGCGATGCCTGTTTTAATAGCCTTATAATAGGCACTATAGCAGCAATTATAGCCTGTATATATTTATAGAGAAGGCGTGCGAATTTATTAAAGTTCTCCTCCGTGTTTTAAGGGTTATTCTAGTTATTTAGCTCGTCTAGCTGGGTTTAGAGGTGCTCCTGCGCCTTTTTTTAGTTAGTATTCTTCTATAGCTAATATTATAGCTATTTTACTATACTTAGTAGGGTAATATCGAACTCTATATATATAGGGCGGTAATCTAAATTACAGTTCTATTCCTTTTATACTATATAGGAAGTAGTTTATTCTATTAGCTATTCTATTATAAATATAAGGTTAATTATAGACTATAATATTCCTCTCGCCTATATTTCTATACCTTTCTCCGTAGCTAGGTCTATTCCTGCTTCTATTATAATGCGGATAAGCTCCTCCGCTTGCTCCTCTATATTTATTACTTATATTCCTCTCTATAATAGGTAATATAGGTTTATATTACCTATAAAAACGTGCTCCGCGTTGTTATTATTTAGTAGTAGGGGTAGTGCGGCTATAATTCCGTTTAGTTTCGGGTTATAGATATTATAAATTTAGATATCCTCTCTACTAGTATAGAAAAAGAGGGTAATAAGGTCCGGTAAGTAGTGCTCTACTAACTACTAGTTAATATTAAGGTTCTTATTAATATATATACACGTTCTTGTGTATAGGCTTCCTCTATATAGAAGGTAATAGGACTTTATACGGAGTATTATATGCTTTTATTACTATATATTTTTCTATAGCTTTTATATTACTAGTACTAGCGGTTAAGGCTAGGCTTTTTCTACTTTTTCCAGGAACTTCCTCTAAGTCTTACAGCTCTTGTTAATATTATACTATATAATAGTAAGTATGCTAGGTTGTTCTAATATTAAACTATATCTATAGTATCTGCAGCGTTCGCTGCACCTGTTTCGGCGTGTAGTTGCTGGCTTGCATTATTTTCCTATAAAAACAGCACTTAGGTAATAGTTTTAAGTTATAAAAGTTTATCTATATCTCCGTATATTATTAATTAAGTTAACTAGGTTAGAGGCTATAAGGATAGCAATATAAAGCGAGAAGTATATAGTGTCTAAGAAGGCGTTTAATAGGAAGATTGCTGCGTTGAATAAGCAGTCTGCATTATTCCGTTAATCTTCGGCTAGCTTAGGTCCTTATTAGGATGCTCGAACATCTTCGGTCGTCCTACTCTTTTTAGTGCTGTTGGCGCTGGCCCTAGTTCTATGCTGCCTTTGCGTGTATTATTATTAGTAGCTTTCCTTTTCCTGGACTAGGTTAAGGTTATACACACCCCTAGCGGGGTATAGAGCGTGTATAAGCTCGGCCCCTTATTAGTATTGTATCGGTGTGGCGTCGCCCACCTCTTTAACGTAGCCTGTAGCTAGGCCCCTTTTCTTATACTATATTCGGCACTATATACCGGGTGGTTTCTTTTATAGTTAGCGTACTTCTTAGTATCTGTTGCCGTGCATTATCTTATATCGTGTTCCCCTGCGCATACTGCATATCGGATGTCCTTCTTATAGTGTCTTACAACGTGCCCGTAGCCCTGGCATCTGAAGCACTGTGTGGCTATAAAGCCTGCTTCGTATCTTAAGGCTGTTAGCAATTGTCTACTTATTGCAAATCCCTTTATAATAGCTTTGTCTGCTATTGCTTCCGTGCGCACGCTAGCAATAATTAAGCTGGCGTGTTGGCCTGGGTCCTCTCGCGCAGAGCCTAGATATATTAGGGGCGTTTAACTATATATTATATAAATATATAATATATAACCTATAGATTTAATAAATACCGGAGTAAATAGTTAGGTTTATAAAGTCCTTTTTATAAAACCGCACTATAAGGCTTACTATTAAAAACTTTATAGCGGAACCTATTATAGTTACTATAGAAATACTATAGAGCTTCTTCCTATTACTAATACTTTTCCTTTTCTTTACTAGCACGCTTCTACTAATACTATAGCGTAGTAATATAATAGCCTATAGGTTTATTAATAATATAAATATTTTTATATATAGTAAAAGTATAGAAGAAAACTATAGGGCTATTAAATAGGCGTATAACTAGTGTATAGAGTAGGTAAAAAAGTATAAAGCAGTTTTTACGCTAGATAAATACCACCTAATATACTTTATAAGAGCCCGTAAGTTTATTAATATAAAAGCTATAGTTAATATATACGGCTTTACTAAAGGTCTAGGTAAATTCTAAACTTAAATAGGGCCTATA